GTAAACAGAGAAGTGTGTTTCTGTGCACTATAAGTGGATAATATTATTACGATATGAAAAAAAACATAACACAAACCAAGGGCGAAAACAAAGAGTGCTAACAGGGCCCTGGGGTCACCTGACTGCTCCCGTCAGCCATATTGGTTGGGGAAAATGAAAATAAAGTAAGAAAAAAATAGAACTTTAGATAAGAAACAAAAAGAGTATACTGAGGCAACTTCTAGCAAGAGTGTATAAGTAAAATTTGAAACATATAGCTGCTTAATCAAACTGGGTTAAGGAAGTCCCACAGTAGTAGGATAGCATCTGGCTCCCAGTGTAGAGCCACATAAGGGTACTTGTTTGCGGGCAGTCGATCCCCGTGCTTAAGATCTGTACGTCTCTCAGTAGGCGATCGATGGGGGTACCAGAACGGTGGAAGCGAGAGAAATCATCCCTCCGGCCCTTAATAAAGCCTGCATCTTCGAGTCGCAGTCTCGGAGGCTCCAAAAGTCACAGACCCTTTCCCATCGGGGGAAACAGGAGGCCATGTTAGTCCTGTGCCACCAGCATTGGGTTGCCTTCGGTCTGTGGGTGCAAGGTCCCTTGAGGCTATCGGCCCCAAGTGGGCTTACATTAATGGTGGCATGAGTAGCTTGAGAGACTGTACCCGAAGGAGGCTTACTCTCTCCCTGTTGCTCACACTTCCCATCTCCCTCTTGGGGTTGTGTCGAGGTAGTCAACATGCGAGTCTCTAGTTCTGCCCAGAACTGTGAGAAAGCCTCATCAAGTCGCAGCAAGAATCGGTCAACTTGGATAAGGAGAGTCCACTGGAGCTGTTTAGTAGTGCATGGGCGTCCGCCATCTTGGAAGTTCTCTTACTTCTGCAGTGAGCGGGAACCAGCATAGGCAAGTGTTGTGGGAGCTGGGAAAACCCTCACCAGCAGGGGGGTAATGGTATGTCCAAGCACAGAGAGCATAGCTCTAGGTAGGTCAGAGGCAACGAGAACGGTCGCTTCTCAGTGTCTTGGCTGCCTGGAAGGCCGCAGGTGCACTAATGGAGCTTCCACCGCTGGTAGACCGGTATGCTAGAAGGCAATGCTGCTTCCAAGCTTAGAAAGTGTGGATGGAGAATCTCAAAGTAGGCTTAAAACACGATGCTGCACGTAGCTCCAACTGTATGAGACGGCTCAGCTCGGCAGCCAAGCCCCACCTCTTTAATTTTATTTTTAAGTTCTTGTTTCCATTAACATTTATATTTTTGGTTTCAGTTACCTGCTAACTTGGTTATATTTTTTTATAAGGTTTGTTTTCCAAATACATAAAAAGGCCACTGTTTAATGTCACTTATCTTTTTTTTTTTTTTATATAAATTCTTTATTTTTGTAGTGCACGTATATATTACAGGCATGTTTGAGGTACCCCGAAGGCAATCCTCAGGCTTTTCCCATGCGAGCATGCGGGGTGTATTCTTAACTGGCACAATTTTTATATTATCAGGCTTAAGAAACATAGCATTAAAGTATCAATTTACATGTAGGTATACATGGTATGCAAACATGTTTGGTTCATACGGTAACTGTGGTAATTAGTAACATGCTAGCACTAGTTAGATTTTTTCCATGTAAGAGGTACAATTTTAGTGCATATGCTAGCAACCTGGGCTCATGCTGTAGAGACAGGCATATTACAGGTAATGATAGAGACCTCGTTTAGTGTGCATTAGCACGGAGATAGATTTGCTAGACAAGGTTAAGATTATTGAAGCGTATACTTAGCATATTCATTTCTGTTAGTTAACTTAGCTGAAATATTAAACTTTATATTGACCATGACTAACTTTCAAGCTTTCACCAAAGTCAACGCTTGTTAGGTAGCGTTGTAATGCAGTATCCAGGGTTTAAACAACTTAAAACATATTGTGACATAAATTTAACAGAAGCATCCCTGGTAGCTTGCTTATCTGCATGTGAAAGAGTCTTCGGCAGTCCAGGGTTATGCACAACAGCCGTGCAGGTGGTAGCGACTGTCGTCCCTGTGAGGTGTGGGTAAGAAAGAGGGAGTCCGCAGGAACTTGGAACTGGCTGTAGGATCGCAAGGGATAATGAAACCACTGGGTCTCATGGTAAAACTTCAGTTAGCAATCACCCAAGTCTCAGCATATTACGGCAGCTTTACAATTCAGTATGGGTTAGGGCGTTGTGACTTTGTATGCTATGCTTGGGGCTGTTTGGATAGTCCAAGTAAGCTTATTCAGCCGATGCCCCTGCGTGAGGCCAGTGCCATCGGGTCCGCCGGTGTTGCTGCTGGGTGCTGATCCCGTGCGTCCGAGGATTGTAGTACGTGAGACTGGTCAGTGTCATAGCAAGCTTTGTGGATGTCATGAGGGTTTCCTCTGTGCTGGGTTAGAGTTGTTTGTGCTGCTGGGTGTCACTTATCTTTATGTTCATGATATACATAACTAGAAAACGGTTGTGCCAAATATGGTACTGTTGTAAAGTTTACTTTGAGCTTTAAGTCAATAGAAACTAGCACACAAAACAAGATATTTTACAGATTAATTAAAAAAAAATAAATAAAAAAAAAAAAACAGAAAATATATATTAAATTATAATGGAAAAATAAAAATTCTGATTTCTAAAATGGGTGCCGCTTGTAGGGTAGTGGCAAACAGCAACAGTCTTTGTGTAGAGAGAGCAGCACAGCAGATTCTTGAAATCCAGTTATATAAAAAAGTAATTGAGGTGTGCTTCACAGCAAGGCAGGGACCATCCAACCCAAAAGAGAAGAGTAAGAGGAAAACAATAGTGCTCTCTATATTTTCTGGATTCGTAAAGAGTTGTATAAACGGTATAACTCACACCTTTTTGAGCAGACACACAGCTCTGTGTGTCTGCTCAATAAGGTGTGCGTTATTTTTTTGGATTCTTTGGTACGGTCCAGTTACCAGAAGACCACACACAGCAGCAGTCCAATATACACAATGCAGATGTCCCTGGTGGACTTGGTGTCAGGGTGATGACCAGTGTAACTCAAAAGAAAGGAGAACAATAAGTGCTTTCTATTATAATATAAATTAGAGCAGGAAATATGAAGAAAATTAATTATGCTCTTTGAAGCAGCCGGACCGTTCTATGATTCAGACATAGATGTTATAATCCCCACCAAGGATTCTTGAGTCCAGTCCTTGTGTAGAGGATAATCAGGATGTCAAGTATACCAAAATAAATAAAGATAAGAGGTATATGGCACACTAAAAAATAGTAGAGTAGCCAATATTCCTTTATTTTAACAAAAATAAAGTGTGAAGTCATTATATACAGTGTATGATGTTATACCTATGTTTGATAATAAGATATAAGATCAGATTAACAATTTTACTTTTTATGAACGTATTTTATGATATATTAACACTACTATATGGAATTGTAATAAATATGTATATTTTAGGGGTCATGGTAATAAGTCTATATATGTATATATCTTGTTTTAATGATTCGCCGTAATATACTTCTATATCACCAAAAATATTAATGCGCAATCTAATGTTCTTTTTTTTTTTTTTTTTAAATATGCATTTATTCTACTCACAATGCAAACCGCAATTCATATATTACACCTTAACAAATGGTATGGCTTAACTGATGTTACAAGGAGAGAGAGGTCTTCGATAGAGGGTATTCATATTTGTCCAGAAAGTCATGGAAACAACCGAAGAGTAGTAGAATGTGTTTCTTTGTCTACTGTATTTTTATAGAAATGACTTTAAAGATGTCAGAGCTTTTAACTAAAACTCGGAGCATATAAGGACATATAGGAAGACCCTCAATCCTCTCATTATACACCCACATTTCAGACTTCTCATGGTACATCATAGCAAATAACCATCTGCTCTTTTTAACCCATAAGACATCCATACCCAATATGAATAAAAATATAGAAAAAATAATATTCTACAGGGACAGTTATCGATCAGGATACACCAGGTAAAGTGTTGTGAGAAAATAAAAAAGTTAATGGCTGAAAACCATGGTTTTAATCGGCAGATGGGTAGTTGGCGTTCACTGCATGGCAATATAAAGCTGAAGAGCAGATGAGCTATCAGAGCAATTTCCTGGTTGGAAGAGCAAAATTTGAGAGGCTAAGGATATGCACTGATTGCTATAAGTGGGAGATGCCCTGTGAAAGCATGCATTTCAAAGGACATAGAAGAAAACTGTAGAGATGATGCTTAACAGGATCACGGAGCAAGTGGGAATATGACGAAGGAATGAAAGCCCAATGTGTCATGTTGATAAGAGGTGGAAGAACATTAATCCCTAGGGGCCTAAATGCAGAGATGGAATTTTGTAATCTTTTGCAATTCATTTTTAGATTTGATCATTTTACGTCGGTTTTTATCCATGTTTTAGTATTTTTTATGATTAGCATTTATAGTGTCAACATATTCTGCAGTGCTTTACAATTCTCGCTGCTAAGATGTTTATTATGTGATATATTTTTTTAATTTTTGTTGTGCAGGTAGGTACATTACATAGCTTTGTCAAAACGACACAACAGTGTGTGTGTGTGTGTGTGTGTGTGTATGTATGTATATATATATGTGTGTGTGTGTGTGTGTGTGTGTATATATGTAGATGCATACAGGCTAGATAGTGGGATGAGTTTTTGCACCTTTTTCATATACAAACAAGTTTTATTGTGACTGATGGGTCTCTGCAACTAGTAAGTGTGTGGAGTATGCTTGTGGTGCAGGAAAATAATATTGTTTAAGTCAGGCTTGGTACAGGCTAATATATGTAGCGAGATGTGTGGCTCTCCTGTAGTCTAAGCAAGAATATAACACATTAAGCATGATGGCCTGCTGTATTGTAAGTGAAGATAACGGATGTGTTATGGAGGAAACTGTTTAGGTGAGCCTGTGTAATGTTGCTAATGAGATTAACCCCTGGAGTGCCTCAATGTAGTGTAAAGTGTACTCAGCCGCAGGTAGGCGTCTAAAGAGTTAAAGATAACTTGCGCTATAACATGAAATGAAATTGCCGTATGGGTGTAGAAGGGCATAGTTGAGCACCCTGGTGCCAGTTTTGACATAGAGAACTGTGTCCTTGAGGCATGCGGGTGGTGTGTTTGGAGTGGCATGTCCATGTCAGCCAATGCCTCGGCTCGGTATAGTGGGTGAGCCTCTGGGTTTTGCTGCATGAGGGAGGTATGCCAGTGTGTTGGCTTGGCTTCTCCAGGCTTGAGAGCGGGTATGCTTCTGGCATCCATGGTCCTGGACTCTGTGAGATACTAAGTCCCTCCCCGCCGGGAGACTGTGGAGGCTTGAGGCGGGTGCTGAGTTTCTGCCGTTGAGGTCTTTTCTGTGCAGTTGTGGTTGGAGCAGCCCTCTGCCCAGATGTGTCTGAGGCAGGTTTCACAAATGCTTTCGGGGATGCTTTGCCCATAGGGAGCTAAGGTTTTCCTTTGCTCTTGCCACTCCACATCTTCCCTTGTAGCTGGGGCTGTGAAGGTAGCGTTTGGGCTTCTATTTTTTGCCAGAACCTTTCAAACACATTGCAGCATGTCGTCCATCAAGCCCGGTAGGATCATCTCACGCCCCTGCTCAGGGAGCTCGTCTGCTATCTTGAATGTTTCAGCCAGATACACCATGTGGCAGGTGTCGGTCATTTGAGTACAGCGTGAGTATAAGGGACTAGCCAGGGGGGACTGGGATAACCCCCGACGGTCCATGGGGGGGAGAAATAGCACTAGTTGGGTGTCTCACTGCCAGTCAAAGCAGTAGGAGAGCGGCTGTCTCTCCACTGCCCGGTCGCTGGTAGGCCGCAAAGCCTCGAGTCAGGGTTTTCAGTGACGGAAAGGCCCGCGAGAGGTGTCCCCCGCACCACCGGCTTTTCAGGAAGAAGCTTAGTCGAACTCTGCATTCGGGTAAGTGTTTGGTTTAAAAATATCGTCGATTGTAAGGTGCTAGACGCGTATATCTCATATATTAGTTTCCCCTTTTAATGGCAAAACCTTCAATGGCTCACATAGCTCAAAGGAACTGGAAGTTCAGTTTTAAAAATGTAGTCAAGACAATGGGTGCTGTCTGCCACAAACTCACATGTCCATGCTGCAGTACAGAGGGTAGGAAGGAGTCAGGAAATTGAAATGGGAGTGCGTAAATGCACAAATTGGGGGTTGTAGGGGAGAGACCTACTCAAACGGAGGGGGGAGGGGCTGTGCAGAGACAAAATCGGGGTTGTGAAAGAGTAAGACACACACACAGAACTTTGCACAGACGCAGAATTACTGGTATACGTTAATAAATGAGACATTGGATTGTCACGCCACACATTGGTGCCACTTATTGACATGTCTTGCTTAATAAAATAATCGAATATTATATATAATACTCTCTCCCTCTCACTACAGCATTTTCGCTCAAACTTGCATATTGATATTCTCAAATCTTCCCTGTAGAGTTCTGATCACACGATTGGGCTTAAAGCATCTTTGCACACCCCAAACAACACCAGGAGTTAAACAGGTCGATAGTAATATGGTGTGTTTTTTTTTTTTTGCCACATGAAGATGATTTATACCTGGTTACGTGATCAGAAAATTGCTGTGAAGATTGAACAATATCAATGTAATACATATTCCCTTATTTTACAAACTATCTGAATTCGAAGGGCTGATTGGTGGTTCTTATGTATGACATCACATATGCTATGACTTCCTCTTTTTGCACAGAAATGTAGTCATAGGCTGAGAGAGTGCTGGATTAAACTGAACATGCTTTTTCAATGTGACTTTGAACCTTGGGGCCAGGCACAGGCAACCTTCGACACACCGGGTGTTGTGGAATACATCTCTCTTATAACCATAATACTCCACAATACTGGCAGAGTATCATGGGAGATGTATTTCACAATATCTGGAGTTGCCAACTGTTTCCTACCCCTGACTTGGGTTCTTCTGTGTGTTGCTTCCACCACTTAAAAGCGTTTACGTTTAATATTTTTTATGCATATTATATATTTCTAAAAGACTGATAGGACTTACTTCTGATGTTCTATATGTGTACATAACAACATTTTTTTTTTTTTTTTAATACTTTATTGTGTAAAAGTAACAGTACAAGTTGCAAGTTATACATAATTGAATACATTGTCACGGCTTATTATAGATAGAGATCAAAACACTTGGGACTGCGTTGGCCGCTGTCGTATGGGAAGGGGTGGGTCGGAAAGAGGGGGGGGGGTGAGGAGGTGGGGGGTTCCAGGCATCTGTGGCTGCTTCGGCGAGTTTGTGTAAAGCTGCGGGTAGAGGGGGACAGGTACTCGTGATGCTTGTCTTTTGTGTGGTACATAACAACATTTAGTTACTTTAACATTTACTGAATGTTTTCCCAGCACCAAGTATAGCAATGGTTATAGTGCCAGCAGTGCCCTGGCACTATTCCATAGTAAGTAGTCAAACCATTTTAATATGGTTTGACAACATACCTGGATCCAGCTAGGTACCTGATGCTGCAACCCCTGCATCCAGTCTTCTCATGGGTGAGCTTCTACTTAGTCCTACATAGTTAAGCAGGACTGCATTTTGGCTGAGAATATCACCTGAGCATGTTCAGCAAGTGAGTAGAGTCCTGGATCATATATGCTTTATTCTATAGAGATATTCAGTTGTCAATAGACTTGTTCACCTAAGTAAGTTATCAATACACTTGTTAAAAATTTTATTTTGAGTCGGTTCGTCTGACTCCGATTCATTGAATAAGACTCCACAGGTAAGTCCTGGAAGGATCAATTTTGTTCGGATGTGGAATAAAAATAATTTGATTTGGATGTACCAGCTCGGATAGTACTAAAACAGTTTGACTACTTTCTGTAAGGTGTTACCAGGCACTCCAGGCACTATAACCACTACAGCAGACTCTTCCTTGAAATAACGATAGGAGAGAAAATATGATTTTTTTAATTTATTTTTTCCAGTTTGACTTTTATTATAAGGAATTTTTCCTTTTGGTCTCCCTCAGGAGTGAAATCCTGTATCTCTGAAAATTGTATATTCTAATTGTTTAGTATTACCCCAACTCTTGCCCTTTAGGGACTAAACTAGTGAATTAACCACTTAAGATTAATTCTTTGGGGAATGTGAACAAATAAAAAACACACAGGCAAGTGTGTGTAAAATAAATATCTACCTACCCACCTATATATTGGAAAAGCCTTGACTTGATGATTCCAGTATAACCTTAATGCCCCGGGGCATTAGTATACCATCCATGAAAAGCATGCTCTGGACTTTTAATCACTTTTAAATTGCTGCGTTTATTTTATATACACAGCATTGTATAAGAACTGTCGAAGTTTCAGTGCCATAGACTGAGAAAGGTGCCTCAACTTCTTCAGAACCTTGTTCTTAAGTGGAACACATGCTAAGATCATGCCTTCCCTTTGAACTCTGTCTTCCCTAATTTTCTGCAGGGCTCTGGAACAAAAGGAAGAGCTGACTATGAGCTGGGAGGGCTGTTCAAATTGGAATTTATGCCCTGGTGGCATTGTGTTCTAGTACAATATAGTTAAAAATTTCAACTCGCTTACATTTTTCCTTCTCTTGTGTTAGTCCCTTGAGGACTCTAGGCTCTTCCATGCAGTTCTCCATAGAGCGGGTGTTAATGCCGCTAAGAAAACATGGAATGTCCTAACATTTTGGTGTCAGCAGAGTTAAATCCCTACACAAAAGAAGGATGAGTTACAATTGTGAAGACAGATGAAACAGCCTTAGGTGAATGAACAAAAATAGAATAGTCACTTAACTTCATCGGGGGTGTTTACATAGATTAAATCTTTTACTGGAAAGTATACATAAAGAGAAAAAAAACAAAAAACAAGAGATATGGTGTGTATTGTTAAGCACTCTTATGAGTAAGATGTAGTAGTGTTCACACTAACATGGAATTGAGCCGGTGAGAGAGGCTCAAATCATAAGAGCAGGTGTGTACTCCGTTGACTCATTCACATTTTCATATAGTCCAGTGATGGTAACTATAAGGGAACACAAAGGAAACAGGCGAACAATCCCTTGTGCAATATATCAATAACACCGTGCAGAATGATATCAATAATGGTGCTGCTCACCTTGCTCAGTGCCCTAGAAAACTGGCTCTGGTTTGTGGTGCTTGTTTGCTTTTTTAGGGGGCACTACCCTTCTTTAGAAGCAGGCAAATGGCATGCACAGAGGACTTGGATAACAACATTTATTAAACAAAATTGTTTAAAAAAACATATAATAATCTAATTGTTTAAATAAAATACTTGAACTAATAAAAAATGGTAGTCCAAAGTCTCCCCTCCGTTCAAGACGAGTTTCATCACTCCAATGGGCTTTTAAAGTTACCAACGTGTCTGACCCTACCTGGTAAAAACTTGCTTGATTTTATTCCAGCAAATAATTGTATATTACATCCCTATAAGAGTGACAAATATGTTACAATCATCCTATCCATTAAGAGTTGTAATGAAGTGTGAAAATGTCTCAATGTATTACAGTTGTGGTGCACCCTGAGGCTTTAATATTGTGATGAATATGTGGACCACCTACTGTGATTTAGAATAATCAATTAAAATGATTCACAGTATGTGACGGTAGTTAGCAGGGGGCTGAAGACTGACCCTTTTATGGAGGTCCCCAGATTACTCCTATGTTTTAGTCACCCTGTGCCCATTATATACACTGCTCAAAAAAGTAAAGGGAACACTTAAACAACACAATGTAACTCCAAGCCAATCATACTTCTGTGAAATCAAACTGTCCACTTAGGAAGCAACACTGAGTGACAATCAATTTCACATGCTGTTGTGCAAATGGGATAGACAACAGGTGGAAATTATAGGCAATTAGCAAGACACCCCCAATAAAGGAGTGGTTCTGCAGGTGCTGACCACGGACCACTTCTCAGCTCCTATGCTTCCTGGCTGATGTTTTTGTCACTTTTAAATGCTGGCAGTGCTTTCACTCTAGTGGTAGCATGAGATTGAGTCTACAACCCACACAAGTGGCTCAGGTAGTGCAGCTGATCCAGGATGGCAAGAAGGTTTGCTGTGTCTGTCAGAGTAGTGTCCAGAGCATGGAGGCGCTACAAGGAGACAGGCCAGTACATCAGGAGACATGGAGGAGGCCGTAGGAGGGCAACAACCCAACAGCAGTACCGCTACCTCCGCCTTTGTGCAAGGAGGAACAGGAGGAGCACTGCCAGAGCCCTGCAAAATGACCTCCAGCAGGCCACAAATGTGCATATATCTACTCAAATGGTCAGAAACAGACTCCATGAGGGTGGTATGAGGGCCCGATGTCCACAGGTGGGGGTTGTGCTTAGAGCCCAACACCGTGCAGGACGTTTGGCATTTGCCAGAGAACACCAATATTGGCAAATTCGCCACTGGCGCCCTGTGCTCTT